ACTACAGCCCACTTCTTATGCATATGCATCCGAAGAAGTGGGCTGTAGTCCACGAAAGCTTATGCTCTAATAAATTTGTTAGTCTCTAAGGTGCCACAAGTCCTCCTGTTCTTCTTTCATATAACCTTGTGGTGGGTCTACCCACGTGTGACCTCTGTTTTCATGGGACTTTGTATCAAAGCCTCATTTAGAAACTTTGCATTGCCCTTGGTATAATATTATAGCCCCTAAGGATAGAATAAGATAGAAGAATTCTGTTTGCTAGCAGTAGAACAAGAGCTCTCCCCCCCCCCGCCCACTCTTAATCAATTGCCCTGTTGAATGAATGAGGTGTGGATGAGCAAGGCATGGAAGGCAGCACCTCCAGACAGCCTCAACTGTTGGAGAGGGGCTGGGAGCCAGACCCAAGGACAATAAAACGTGTCAAGTGGGCTCATTAAAAACAAGCAGACATACCGAGGGCCTCGGGGGTTAGAAGCAAGCACCTTCTTTTGGAAACACCCTCTTTGCAGCATTGGCACAACACTCAAAAGAAAGCAGCACAAAGGTCCAATGGACACAGACACAGAATTTGAATCTGGTATAGATTTGCATAAGAGGAAAGCTGCTATAAAAGTGAGGTGTCTTGCAGAGGACCCCGGGTCTCGTCTTGTCAACATGGGAGCATCGATCCGGATCGGCAGAAGCCCGGCTCCACCCCCTCCCCCATCTAACTCACCTGGCCAGTGCAGTTAAGGGGAGCAACTAATTGGTAACAACAAGACGAAGTGTGTTTGTGTGTGTGTGTGAGTGTAAGTGTAATATATTATATGCATATGATACAGTGTTAATGAATACATGTATTACTAATAAATGTGGCGTTTTGCCTTATTCCCCCTGAAAAGATCCTGTGCAGTACTTTAAGTACAACTCTGGCCGAGCAGTCCGGGGAGCCCTGCGGCGCTCTCCGACCGCTGCCGTCGCCTGGGACACTGGGGGACCCCTGCCCCACGCCCTGGCCGCTGCCCCCCGGGCAGCCCGGAGATCCACGTGGCACGCTCCAGCCCCCGCTGCCGGGGCCGCCGGGGGACCCATGCCCCGGCTGCCTCTCCCCGAGCAGCCTGGGGAGCCCCGTGGCGTGCTCCAGCCGCCCCTCGGGACGCCGGGCAACCCCAGCCCCGCCCCCCAGCTGCTGCTGCTCGACCGCCATGGGGAGCCGCACCACCTGCCTCAGCCATCGCTGCCTGAGCCCCTGGGGGTCTCCTGCACCGCGCCGCTGCCACCTATGCAGCCAGGGGACCCCCACCACCTGCACCGGCCGCCACCGCCCGAGTGGCCGGGGGCTTCCCACCCTGTGCTCCAGCCACCAATGCACGCAACGTCCGTGGAGCTCCCTGATGCGCCCCAGCAGATGAGACCCCGGCCCGCCGCCTACCAGCTGCCACAGAGTCTGAGAGAATCGCCCACCCGCCACTCGATGCTCCAGCTGCCGAACGATCCCTACGCAGTCCATCAGCCGCTTCAGTCGCCAGGAGACCCCCCCAACCACTCCACTACTGCCCCAGCAGCTAGGGACCCCCCCCACGCTCCTGTTGCCCCAGCCAACAAGAGACCCCCACACCGCCCAGCAGCATCAGCACCCATCAACCACTCCCCCTCCAGGCCCCTCAGTCACCTCGGGAACTCTGCGCTTGCACACTAAGAAATGGGCAGTAGCCCACGAAAGCTTATGCTCTAATACATTTGTTAGTCTCTAAGGTGCCACAAGGACTCCTGCTGTTTTTGCGGATACAGACTAACACGGCTGCTGCTCTGAAACCTGCCTGCCTGCGTGCAAGCCATCGTTCTTGGGAAGTCCTTTGCTGGCAACATTTGCAGTGCTGACTCTCAGTCCTCAACATCAAGCCCTTAGAAGAGAGAACTGACTGCAAATCAGAGGTCATCTAGTCCAACCCCCTGCATCCTTCCTGGGACTCTCAGTCCTCTTCTAAGGGCTTGATCTTGTTTTACTGAAGTCAGTGGGAATTTTACCACTTGTTTTGCTTGGATCTGGACTGGTTCCATACTGGAGTTCCTGGAACAGTCCTCTCTCCTCCATGTGATCTCATCCTGCTCCCTGCGTAACAACAGGAATATTTTCACAAGGGCAAAGGAATGGAACAATTCTCTTCTATGGGGGGGTACCACTGCTGAGAGACACTGACCCAAAGCCCCCACTTCCATAACATGTAAGAACCAATCTTTTCAAAATTTTATGGAAGAGTAGAATAGAAATGAAAAAAGCAGCTGCTCGAGTAGGTAAAACCCCCCTCAGAAAAAACAACAACATACAAAAAACGCAGTCGAATGGTCTGAGCACCGATAAAACCCAAAAGGTTTTTTTCTATTTTTTGAACAACCATGTTCTCCCCGGAGGGAGGCGCACC